AGAAAGCTGGAAGGCGAGGTGGTGCCGGACGAGGCTGCTGTGCACCAGTACAAGGCGGGCTCAGGTTGGCCCGCGGCGAAGGGTGCCAATTTTACAAAGAAAAGTCAAAGCCCGCACGCTCATAGTGACAATGATGGAAATTCCTTCCTAAGACCAGATCTGCCCGGTCAGGAAGAACCATCATCATCTTCTATGGAAAGGGACGCAAGCAAAGGCGAGAGTAAGAGCGAGTGGGCTGTGCCTCCACGCGGGCGGCTCGGCGCGGGGTCCGCGCACCACCGAGGCCAGGCACGGTGTCCCCGCGTCGCCTGCTCTTACAACTTCGGTTCTCCATCCACTTGCTTTGTGAATATCCACTTTCTCTCACCTGCGTCTCAAGATGTCAAAACACCCAGCCAGATCCGAACCATGATACCTCACAGTCCATCCGAGCCGGCTTCAGGAGAAGAACCCAGCTGCTGGCCATCTTCTCCAGAAGCCCTGGCACTGGGCCCCTTTAGTGGGGCGTGTGCAGGGTCAGGAGGTTGTAGGCTTCATTCCTTCTCTTTCTTTCCTTTCTGAATAACCTGGGCCTCCCCCCACCCCAAATTGAGTCACCTCCTTCCGATTTCTCAACAGTGGAAGCAGGAAACGGGCAGGGCGCAGGCGGAGCAGCTCTGGTGGGGCGCAGAAAGCAGATCCTGCTTCTCCAGGGCCCCTGGCAAAACCAGATTTGCTCCCCACTTGCCCTCCGACCCCCACCCTGGGCATACTGTTGAAAGTGACCGAATGAAATAGAGAATTCAAAGAGGCGGTTATTGAGCTCACCTGCGAGGTTTTGGGGGAGAAAGAAGCAGAGACTTGGCCAGAGCTGGTGACGCCACCTCCTGTCCCCTCTGCCCCCAGATTCCCAAGGGGGGACCCGCCCCGGGCAACTTCGCAGGGGCCCGGACTCTCCGTGGGCTGAACTTAAATCTTCACATGGTTGGGAATGCCCGTTGCTCTAATAATGTTTTTTTTAACTTAAAGCCTAGTTTCAAATACTACGGTACTGAGAGACCCGGTAGAAATCACAGCAACAGAACGACTGCCCTTTGACCCCACCTCCTCAGCTCGGAGCCGAAGCCCGGAGCTCTGCAGCCTCCTCGGCTCCGACCCGGCCGCCGAGGAGGAGCCGGGGCGGGGAGGGCGGCCTGGGGACACTGGGGGTCCTGGGGTCTCCGCGCCTCGGGAGGCNCGGAGCCGCAGGTGCTGCAGACTCCAGTGCCCGCGCTCGGCTCCCGGACTCTCAGCCAGGCGGCGGCGCCCTGCGCGCAGAAGCGCGGAGGCAGCTGGGCTAGGACCCCTCGGGACCG